TAAGATGAGGAAATGTTTGTTTCCTCTTGGGAATTGAAGGGGGGGAAGGGGGAGGAGAGCACACTACCTTTATGATGGCGTCACACCTGCCCTGTTGCTCACTACCTGTGTCCCCTCCTCTGGTCCTGAGGGGTAGGTTGTCTCCCATCTGTGAAGAAGGAGAGGTTACGGGGGCTCCCCGCGCTGGGATGCTCGTGGCTCACCTCCGCTCTCCCTGTTGGTGCTCGCCTAACGCAGCCCCTCACAGCCACAGCCTCCCTCTAGAAGTCAGGGGCAAATCTAGTCCTCGGTGGCCCCTGCCCTGGGCTAAACTGTGATCGCTAGTGGCTCTGGAACACTGGTGGAAGTAATTAAGGCTTCACTAGGCAGTGATTGCAGTTTACTTAATCGCTAGTTAATAATTAAAACATTGTAGAACGTGGGGAAATCTGACTGCTGTATTGTGGGTTCCCTGAGTCCTCGGTGTTCCTGAACTCCCTTGAAACCCTCTCTGGAGGGTCCTGGTCCACGGTGCCATGAGACTGTAGACCTCTGACCCCAGAGGTCCCTGAGGCCCACAGCTGAGAGTAGTCAGGCCTGAGGGTGCAGGATTCTGCCAGGAATTCCAGGTGTCAAGGAAGACAGAGCCAGGCCCCTACTCTGGCGGAGAGAATGAGAAACACAGGGAGCCGGCTCCAACCCTGGGGTGTGTGCCCATTGCTCACCTACCCTCTGTGCCATCCGGCAGAGAAGAGCACCAGCCAGACACTGTGCTAAGCTGCTGGTGAACCAGCAGGTGTGATCCAACCACACCCTGCAACTTACTTGGAGTTTTAAGTTAAAAATGGCAATATTTGCTTTGGGGCTCAGAAATGCCAAGGTCAAATGCTCCTCCCATGTTTGGCCAAGTATCTTCAGCCTCTTGGGTCCCAGTGCATGTATAGCCTGTGTCCTGGAGCCGCAGATACACCCCACAATCCCCCCTCTCTGCCCCCCAGGAGAGTGGAGGACAGCTGTATTTCTCAGCACTTTACTCCGTCTAGACTCCCTGAGCTGTGTCTTGTGGGAGGGCTGCGTACACAGGGTGACCACCAGGGGGCACACTGGTGAGCACGAGCCCCCTCACCCTCAGGACAAGGGGGAGGGTGGTGACTTGAGTTCTGGGCTGAGCCACTTCCAAGGACACTCATACCTCGGAGTTGGAGCAAGTCTGGAAGATGAAGGAGTCTTTTATTTATTTTTTATTAATTTATGTATTTTGTCAGTCGTGGGGCAGGGCCTGGGCAGCTGTCCCTGAGCTTTTTTACTTAAGGCTAGGGCTCTATCACTTTGAGCCATAACTCTACTCCTGGTTTGTAGGTGGTTAACTAGAGATAAGAGTTTCATGGACTTTTCCTGCCTGGACTGGCTTTGAACCGCAGTCCTCAGATCTCAGCCTCCTGACTAGCTAGGATGACAGGTATGAGCCACCAGCACCCAGCTCTTGAGGAGTCTTTAGCAAGTCTTGTCCCATTCTGCTGACCAGGAATGAAATAGGGTGGAGGGTAGAGCCTTTGAGGCTGAGGCATGGGGAGAGGGCTGGGAGGCTGGCGCAGGGACAGTGGGATGGCTGGGTCCTCTGGCCATGAGAGTGTTGCGTTCTAGGTTCCCGCCATCCACTCTCTCTATGCCCAGGGCCTAGAGAGTTAAGGAAGACGATGATGCTTTGGCAGCTGAGCACTGTATGAATTAAACATTTTCCCCTTTTTTAAAAAAAAATGACGTCTACCTAAGATCACAGAATCCACCCACTCTGGGGGTTTTGTTTGGATGGTACTGGCGTTTGAACTCAGGGACTCAGCATTTGCTGGACCTCAGACAAGTCCGCTCCTACTTGTGCTATGCCTTCAGCCCTGTTCACTTTAAATTCCTGGAGCTATGTTGAACCCTGATTCTACCTCCTGTGGCCTCTCAAATATCCACGGGGAAAAAAAAGGATGGAAACTACTTTGCAAACCAGCTTGTTGGTTGAGGTGAGGTGCTGCTAACTTGTTTGCCCCAACTGGCCTCAGAGTGTAATCCTCCCAAATTTTTACCTCCCACATGTCTAGGATTATGGGAATGAGCCAGCATGCTTGGCCTCCATTCACTTTTTTTTCTTTTCTTTTTTTTTTCTTTTTGCTGGTCCTGGGGCTTGAACTCTGGGCCTGGGCATTGACCCTAGGCTTCTTTTGCTCAAGGCTAGCATAGCACTTTATCATCTAAGCCACAGCACCACTTCCAGCTTTTTCTGTGATTAATTGGAGATAAGAGTCTCACGGACTTTCCAGCCCCTGTTGGCTTTGAACTGAGAGCCTCAGATCTCAGCCTATAGAATTACAGGTGTGAGCCACCAGCACCCAGCTCCACTTGCTTTTTAAATATTTATTTTGAACATTTTTAAATGGTTGGAAGAACAGGGTACTGATGGCTCATGCCTGTAATCCTAGCTACTCAGAAGGCTGAGACTGAGGATTGCAACTCTCCCCTCCAATTAACTACCCCCAAAATCCACAAGTGGAGCTGTGGCTCACATGGTAGCACAAATGCTCAGATACAGTAAGCAAGTCCTGAGTTCCAGTCCCAGGACCAACAGACACACACATAGTAGTTGCTAGTATGCCAGGTGCCAGTAGCTCACGCCTATAATCCTAGCTACTCAGGAAGTTGAGATCAAAGAATATGTTTAAAGCCAGCCCAGGCCCCCCAAAACAGTTGTTTAGACCGGAGGCATAGTTCAAGTAGTAGGATGCCAATCAAATGAAGAAGTAATCCAAGCAAGAACAGACCCTGAGTTCAAATCCTGGTCCTAGCAAACCAAAAAGGTGGTAACCCCATCCTGACATGTTTACTGCACTTACCACGTATGGTCACTGAGCTTGATGTGGGGTGCAGGATGCTTTATGATATATCAAAGGAAATATAAGCTTCTACCTAGACATAGTGGTTTTTGCTACATGCTAACTGTATAACCTCAGACAAGTTCCTTGATTTCTCTGGGCTTCTTTTTCTCACTCTGTAAAATGGGACAGTAGCACAAATCCTCCAGTAATGTAGTCAGGACTCAGCTAGATGACGTGTGCAAAGGACTGGGCACAAAGCAGAAGTCTCTGGGTAGCCATTGGTCACTTTCCCCATTAGAAACACCCCATAGAAGGCATCATTCTAGCCCAGAAACCCGTGTCTTGGCATAAGGCTCTTGGTCCCATAGAAGCATTTTCGAATTAAACCTTAAAATATATATGTCTACATTTCTGACCCTGTCTGTGTTCTGTGCCAAGCCATCGGTGGAAGCCACAGAGCAGCACTCAAGGTGACACTTGCCAGGATAAATAGGCATTGGCAACCAAAGCAGCGACACCAGGGCTGTGGATAGAGGACAGACCGTGGCAGAGGCCTGCCATTTGTCCTTGTTCCCGGCCACCAGTGTGCAGGGCTGTATGCACTGCCCTGACCGTGAGCGGTTCTGGAGGCTGGGGAGAGAAGAGATGGTTGCTGGGCCAGGTGTGGTGCTGCTACTCACAGAAGGTACCCCAAAGGCTCCCACAAGGCCCCTAGCATGGCCCCTGCCCACCCCACCAACACCCCCAGGGTCCGAAAGATAGTGCTGACGCTTCCTGCCAGCCAGCCTCGGCTCCAGATTGAGAATAACAGTTCTTCTTAGGGGATTGAGAAAGATTCCCTTTGACAGCCAGAAGGAGCTCCTTATCCTGTCCCACTGGGTCTGTGGATCAAGGCCGGGGGGGGGGGGGGGCAGGTTGGCTTGTGCACAGAGGAAGGCTGCTCACTGTGGAGAAGGGGAGTTTGGGGACTCCTCCATTCTGTCACCTGTTCTGTCTGTCAGTCCCTGACTCTACTGAAGATTGTCTTTAGGAAGATGCTGGGAGATGAGGAGGCCCATTCACTGACTCTCATCCCCAAATTAAAGATGAGCCTTTAGGCTGGGCACTGGTAGCTTGAAACCATAATCCTAGCTGCTTAGGAGTTTGAGATCTAAGGATTGTGGTTCGAAGTCACAACAGACAGAAAAGTCTATGAGACTTTTATCTGCAGTTAACCACCAAAAAGCTAGATGTAGAGCTCAGGGCAGGGACCTCTTCAATATAAGTGGCCATTGTGTGCCTGGTACAAACTATGTGTTGGATAAAAGCTTGTTGGATGGATTGATAGAAGGGAGGAGAAGGAAGCCATTTGGATGTTACTCACACCCTGGACGGAAGGAATAAACTTCCATATGCTGTTATGGAATCTCGCCTATCAGATGAGAGACCAAGGTTGCCTGGAAACCAAGCTTGAGCAAAATGGCGCCCTGATCGCTTAAGATTCTGAGGCCATGCCTATGCCTTGTCCTCACTCAGGCCTGAAACGGCCAGGGCTCAGCCCCTGCTTAGAAATGACTGCTCACCTCACTCCCCACCAGCCTCCTCCCTTTCGGGGAGCTCTGCTGGAACTATCTTCCCTGGACCCCACAGACCAGCTGCAGATGTTCCCAACACTTGCTAAGTCTGTGGTCCGTGGCAGGTTGGTTCCTTGGCAGCTGTGGGAGGAATACTTACCATGAAAATAGGCACACCTTGCCCATCCCCATGGTCCCGCTCCTCCAAGAGCCAGCTTTAATCTGGGACCAGTCTGCTGTGGGAGATTGTGTCAGGAAGATATTCCAGGTGACCTTACCCACGAACTCTGTTCTACAAGCAGGGCCTCCCACACACAAAGCCGGAGGTAGAGCCGGTCTCTCGAGAGGTCTGAGAGGGGCGTACAGATGCCGGGGGCACACCAGCAGCCATGGCCAGAGTCGAGATTTCAGAGGACCCCAGGGTGCATGTCCAAGGTTTTTGGAAAAATCTGCTCTCAGGGAAAGAGAAGAGGAAGGTGACTGGATGCTCTAGGGACTGAGCCCTTGGACACCCTTTGGTTACCCAGTCACTGTCCCCTCCCCTGTCCCCCTGCTTTCCACAGGAAGTCCTCTCTAGTCACCCAGCTCTTCCTATTCTCCTTACCAGATCCAGAATCCCAGAGGAAGAGGACAGTGCAGAATGTCCTGGATCTTCGACAGAACCTGGAAGAGACCATGTCCAGCCTGCGAGGCTCCCAGGTGGCTCACAGGTAAGCTCAGGATCTTGTTCTCCAACCTCCATGTCCTCTCTCTGGTCTGGAGGGTGGAGCCTCAGAGTCTCACCACATCTCCACCTGGCAAGCCGGTTGAGTGGTTGAGCTGTTGAGCTATGGCCAAAGCAGCTGGCCCTGGTTTTGAGCACTGGATTTCACTTATGCAGATGACTTTGAAAATTGTTAGGTAGAGATGGAAAACTGTTGGCCTCTGATAAGTCCGGCTCTGTATTACAGCACCCCCCCCCACCCCGCCTTCCCTGCTCCCCATGATCTAGGCTGTTAGGATTAGGACTCAGCCTTCCCTGCACCCTAGGCAAGAATCCACCCTAGCGTGTCTTCATCCCGGTCAGTTAGGGGCCTCTTCTGCCACCCAAGAGGACAGCCCTGGGCCAGACCCACAAGATGTCCCTCCAGCTGTCATACCCTGTGGGTGGTCCCCCTTCCGGGCCTTGCAGAGCCATCCTAGACCACCTGCGTGGGGCACATGCCCCTCCCACAGCACCTCTCCTTGGAGCAGTATCCTGGCCTTGGCCTCCCAGTGACTCAGACTTCCCCCCTCAGGCTCCTCTGAGCTGCCCAGATGAGCTCATGGTGTGAGCTCCAAGGAGGGCAGAGGGCTGGGCTGAGCTCTGGGGGCAGAAGTGGGGAGAGCAGGCAGCCAGCACGGTGAGGTCATGGGGGGTGGACAGGGAGGCAGTGCCAGGAACCCGAGCCTCTGCAGAGGGTTCCTCCCATCTCCATCTCCGAGGTTGGAAAACTGATGGCAAAGTTGGGGCATGGAGCCAGTGGGAAAGGGCTTTTCTTAGTCTGGTGTGTGGCCAGACTTGCATCCAGCCACACCTGCAGACCCCCGTGCCGCAGAACTCACTGCCTCCCCAGCATCCCAGTCAGCCTGTGTTGGCCATGACCATCACGCGGAACTAACCTTCTTCTTTAGTGTCCCCCCACCCCCCCAGCCCTGGCCTATTACCCAAGACTAACCTTCTCCTTCCTCTCACATCCCCCATTCCCTCTCTGTGTCCCCACCTTGGACACCCAGGCCTTTATTCCAGACAACTAGAATATTTTTTATTGGTTTGTTTTTGGGTTGGTACTGGGGTTTGAACTCAGGGCCTTGGCACTGTCTACTAGCATTTTTGCTCAAGGCTGGCACTCTACCACTTGAGCCACAGCTCTGCCTCTCTCTGGCCTTTTGATGGTTCGTTGGAGATAAGAACCTCAAGAGCTTTTCCTGCCTGAGCTGGCTTTTAGCCATGATCCCCAGATCTCAGCCTCCTGAGTAGCTAGGATTACAGGCCTGAGCCACCAGCACCTGGCTTAAAATATTAAGAGATAAGATAATCAAAGCATATTCTCTCTGGGATTATCTCTGGTTAGATCAGCAGGACCTTGACCATGTAAAGGCAGGTAGGTGATCAGGTGGAGGGAAACAATGGGGTTCCTGGGACTCTATCTGTCTCTTGCTTCTATCCCTCAGTCCTGAGCAGGAACTCAAGTATATGGGCAGGCGCGGGGGAGGGGAGGAGGGGGGGATGATCCAGCCCAGCCCTTTGGTTTAGCCACCTAATGTTGAAATCATGGTCATGTTCCTTTTCCCAGGCAGAGAAGTTGCTAGAACATCTCTTAGGGCCAAGTCATCTACCAGGATTATGCCAAAGAAGCCAAAAAATAAAGTGCTTAGTGGCTGAGTCGTGCACACCCCAAATGACTCACGACAGGGGCTGGGCAGAGGCAGAGACACTCAGCCCCCAGCGAGACAGCTTTCGCTTGGCTGGGGAGGGGATGTCTAAAGCCTCTGGTCAGCTTCATGCTGACCGCCCTGTGGGGGTGAGGGGAGCCTAGGGACTTCTGGCTTCTGTCTCCCTTTATGGGAGAAGGCTGGAGCCCAGAGGCTGGGCTTTCTGTTTACTGTGGACTTCCAGCCACTTCCTCTCCTGGCCTTTGGTTTATATTATCCCCTGTCCACATTTGGGTCGCCCAAACATGAATGCCCTGACTTTCATGGCTCTTTGATTCTCTAAAGTGCTTTCCATCCATCAGCCGTCCCTCACCTGGGGTAGACAGGATGACCCCAGGGGCTTTCTGGCCAGTGGGGGTTTCCAGCCATTGTGTCTTCCCCTGCCATTCACCTCCTTCTTAGGAGACTTTACTCCTCGGCTCTTGCTCTGTTTCTACAGGCTCACTCCCCCGCCCCCCGCCCCAACACACACACACCCCTACCACCAGCCAGGAGAGAGTCTGGAGAGGAAGTGAAATGCTGGCCCTCCCCAGATTGCCAGGCCTGGGGCTCCGTATGGGGCTGGAAGTAAGGAATGGAGGATCTGAGCAAGAATCCACCCCTGCAGACTCGGGTCTAGAGAGGTGTTGGGGATATTAAGTAAAGCTTCCAAACAGGGAAGGATGTATTGTCAGTGCTGAGAGCTAAGTGGGACACGCCAGGAATAGAACAGAGAATCCAGACGTCAGTGCTACCCTCATTTACCATAGCATAGGCAACTACCCAAACCTGCTCCTCCCAGAGTTCCTCTTTCCCCCTTCCTTCCCCTCTTCCCCCTCTCCTTCTCCCTTTCCCTCTTCCTCAGCCTTCCCTTCAACCTCCTCCCTCCTCCGTCCCCTCCTCCTCCCCCCTCCTGTTTTCTCTCCCTATATCTTCCCCCTTCCTCTCTCCTTTGTCCCCTCCCTCCCCTCTCTTGGTCATGGTCAGCTTGTATTTATTAAGTGCTTTCTGCCCCAGGCCCTGTACTGTATCTTGTGGTGAGAACATCTCTGTTCTTTTGTTCAGCACGTCCTTGGTCTGCCCCTTGTCCCTATTTTTTGGTCCCCCAGCTACCCCCCTCTCCCTTCCCCCAGACCCCCGTGAGGCACTGAAACACACTGGTGGTGAGGCCGAGTGAGTCACACCATGACCATGGTCTCTGCCTCCAGGGAACTCTGGAACTCATCTCCATTTCCTTGAGATGGTGTCTCGATTCACAGTACTGCAAGCAGAAACAGGACAGCATGTGACTACAGGCCTGGGCCTGGGGGGGGGGGGGGGAGGTGGGAGGAGAAGCAGGGTGTGGACAGGTCAGACACAGCAGTCACTCTGCCCTGTCCAGCCAGGGTGCCCTCAGCTTGCGCACCCGATGGCTGGAGGGACCCATCATACTCCATCATGCTAGATTTCCGGGCTACTGGCTCCCTAGAGTTTGCAGCAGAGAAAATAAAACTCATTTTCCCAATAGAAAATTTTCTTTTATTTCTTTGAGCAATTTTATAGAAGTAGCATAGAAGAATCTGTCTGCCTCCCAGCCCAACCCTGAGAGTGGCTACGCAAGGCCGAGAGGCAGGTGTTCGTGCTTCAAGGTCTAGCCACAGTCATCTCTGCCCCACCTTGTGTGGCCTATACCCCCCCCCCCATTTTATTTATTCAACCCTGTCTGGCCTTAGTTAGGCCCAGGGATGAGACCCTCCTAAGGTTACCTGGGCTGAGTAGAATTATCGGTGTCAGCCCAGGTTGCCTCTCCAACCAGATCTCAGCCCTAGTTCCTCTAGGCAGACAGACACCTTGTCCCCCAGCCCCCTTCAACTTCCCCCCCTCAGGCCCTCTGGCACTAACCTGAGCATGTTTTCTCTAGCCTAGCCTAGCAGAGACTTAAGGTTTGGGACCCTAGGAATCCTGCTACGTGCCTGTCTGTATCTTTGTGTCCCCTGCTCTGTCTAGGGAAGGTTGCTTGTGTCCCTGGGCAGGCTTTGCCGCTTCCCCTGCTGTTCTAGCCTGTGCCTGGGACCAGTCTTCCTGGGTACCTGTTGCCCATCTCAGGTTCCTGAAGCTCATCTTACATGTTCTGTACACTACTGCAGGCTTTTCTAGAGCAGAGCTGGTGCCTGGCAGTCAGCTAGGCCTCAGATCACCAATTGAAAAGAACTGATCAGAGGGTATAGTAGATCCAACCTGTGATCCCAGCATATGGGAGGTAGAAAAAAGGAAGATCAGGAATTCAAAGCCAGCCTGAGCAATGTGATGAGACCCTGACTTTAAAACAAAAACAAAATAAACAATCACAGAAGGAAAAGTAGTTAGACCCACACCCTGATGGATTCTGGCCCTTGCCCCCTAGTCTCATTAGTCCCTGCACAGTGAGTGAGGGTCTCCCAGGTACCAGGCACTATCAGATCTGTACCTCTGCAATCCTCCAACTGTGAGGCTCTTCTCTCCATCTCACAGATGAGGAAACTGAGGCTGAGCGAGGTTACTTACTAAGAGATGGCAAAACAACAGCCAGGAAGCCAATGGTTCACACCTGTAATCCTAGCCACCCAGAAGGCTGAGATCTGAGGATTGAGGTTCAAAGCCAGTCTGGGGAGAAAAGTCTGTCAGACTCTTATCTGCAATTAACCATCAGAAAACTGGAAGTGGAGCTGTAGCTCAAGTGCTAGAGCACTAACCTTGAGCACAAAGAGACTCAAGATAGCCCCCAGGCCCTGAATTCAAGCCCCAGGACCAGCAAAAAGAAAAGGCAAAACAGGATTCAGGTCAGATGACACAGCAGAGTATATCTGGTTGCTTCCTTAGCCACTCAAAATCTTTGTTCCTTGTCAACCTGAGATGCCCTGCAATGGCGCATGCAGCCAGAGGCATTGTGGAGGTGGGAGGGCAGGGTACCGCGGGGCTGTGCCCAGAACTGAAGCAGTGCCCTTCGCTTTCTGCCCAGCTCCCTGGAGATGACCTGTTATGACAGCGATGATGCCAATCCTCGCAGTGTGTCCAGCCTCTCCAACCGCTCCTCTCCTCTCTCTTGGCGCTATGGTCAGTCCAGCCCGCGGCTGCAGGCTGGCGATGCACCCTCGGTGGGCGGGAGCTGCCGCTCCGAGGGCCCGCCCGCCTGGTACATGCATGGGGAGCGTGCCCACTACTCGCACACTATGCCCATGCGCAGCCCCAGCAAGCTCAGCCACATCTCCCGCCTGGAGCTGGTCGAGTCCCTGGACTCCGATGAGGTGGACCTCAAGTCTGGCTACATGAGTGACAGTGACCTCATGGGCAAGACCATGACGGAGGACGATGACATCACGACTGGGTAAGCACTGGGAGCCCTAGACACCTGGGGCAGGAGGCTGGAGCGGATGGTGCAAAGCTGTGGGACCCAATGCCTTAAAAATGGACTTGATGCGCCATGATAAAGGGATCTGCGTATGGGCTGTGGACTGCTTTTGCAGTCGGATGTGCTTTGCTCTAGACTTGGATGTGGTGGGTGGGGCCTAGGGGTGAAGAGCCGATTAGTCCATCAAGGTGCCTCCCCCTCTCATTGGCTGCTGTGGCTGTCATTCTCTAGTATGCCCACCCTTCTTCCTGGCCTTTCCTCCCTCCCTAAAGTGGCCTAAAGAACCCTGGAAAGTGATATTTTTTAGTCCCAGCTCTTCAGCAAACTTGGTGCTGAGAGGAACCAACTTAGTTTTCCCACTTGCAAAAAAAAAAGTTTTCTGCTAGGAAGGGCATTGTGAAAGCCCAAATCAAACAGGAAGTGAGGGGGTATCCTCCGGTCTCCAGGGGTCTGGTACCTGATCTTGTCCCCTGGTCTCTACTCCTTGGGTGCTTGCCCTGGATACCTGCTTCCCACATTGCTATGTCTGAATCCCTGCCCCAATCTGTTGTACCTTCCTTTCCTGCTCTTTGCCCTTCAGGGACCCTCTCCTGCTGTAGTGGACAGTGTTGGAGACAACCAGGGCTGAGACAGCCATCTAGGAAGTAAGAAAAAAAGAGGAAGCACCAACTGCTGGGGGTTTAATAGGTCTGGCTGAGCTGCATTGGTTCTAGAAGTTTTTCTGAGGAATCTCTTAGTCAACTCCTACTCCATTCCTCCTCTTGGTTTATTGGACCCCACCCACCCACCCAAAGGGCCCACACAAGAAGCAGCAGTACCCTTCTCTACCCTTCAGGGGTGTGGTCAACTTCCCCAGGAAAAATCTCAGGCCTTGAAGGCATGGAAAGTAGCTTCTTGGAGAAGACTGCAAGTGAGCTCTAGGCCATCATCTGCTCCCTGCCCGCAGCCCCAGCTCTGAGTGTAGGCTTGGCAGGATATGGCCGTGTGCTGGGGCTGTCCAGCTGAGGAGGCTGTTCCAGAGCAAAACAACTGACGCATGAATGGGTTGTTTATTGCCTGATAAATCCCAGGGGCAGCCCAACCTCAGGCTCAGATCCGCCAGTCTAGAGCTGGGACCAGAGAGAAGCCATCCAGCACACAATCCCTGAGCAGCTGCTGGGTCAGGGGCCTGTGCTAGGCAGGAAGGAGAGCAAGGTGTGGGAGGGCTTGCTCCACTCAGCCTCTGCCCCAGGGAGCACCTCTGAGGAGGTGCCTGGTCCCTGTCCTCTAAGGGCTCACAGCTGGGTAGGGGCTCACAAGGCCTGACAGCTCAGTTTCCTTTTATGCTGCATTAACCATGGAGCTGGCCTTAGGGAGCTCCAGACCATCAGGACCCCTGCCCTCAGGGAGCCTCCAGTTAGATGTCAGTCTTCTGAGCGCCTCCTTCCTCACAACTGCCCCAATGTCCATGGCAGAGATTGTTTGGAGGGCCCCAACCAGCAAGTTAGTTAACTCCCCAGGCTTTAATTTGTCTTCCTGCTAATTGCACCAAATACTAGAACAGTCTAGAGGGGTTAGAAATGCCTAGAATAATTCCTGATTCATTGTCACTGCTCACTTAGTGTTGGTGCTAGAATCTTAGACCATGGGAAAACATGGCCCTTGCTTTCCGGGAAGGCTTTGTTTGACCAGAGCACCACTCATGCCAAATCAGCAATAGGAAAAGATCTAGCTGGGCACTTACAGCACACTCTTATAATCCAAACTGCTGAAGGTTGAGATCCAAGGATCTGTGGTTCAAAGCCAGTCGGGACAGACAGGTCTATGGGGTTCTTTATTTCCAATTAACCACCAAAACCAGCTGGAAGGGCTCAAGTGGTAGAGCACCAGCTTTGAGAGAATAAGCTAAGGAGATAAGCCTGGCCCTGAGTTCAAACTCTAGTACCAACATACACACACATAGATGACATCTAGTAAGGTGACCCTGGGACATAGATGATGGGTATTGGATGTTGAATGCCACTAGGAAAACAGAAATATGCCTTTACTCACTTTTAGTTTCCTTTCTTTATCTTCCTCCCTTTAAGTAATGTCTGCCCCTAAATCAGTATAAAAACAAACCTCCTGGGCATGGGTAGTTCTCACACTTGTAATCCTAGCTACTCAAGAGGCTGAGATCTGAGGATCCTGGTTCAAAGCCAGCCTGAGCAGAAAAGCCCTTGAGACTCATCTCCAGTTAACCAGCAAAAAGCCAGAATGGAGGTGTGGCTCAAATGGTAGAGCTCTAATCTTGAGCAAAATAGCCAAGCAAGAGTGAGATGCCCTGAGTTCAGACCCCAATATCAGCACACACAAACACACAAAACAAAACAAAGCCAGGTTCCCAAGGTTGACATAAGCCAAAACTTGCCTCCCCTCCACACATACCCTCTGGGAGCCCAGGGAAGCCTGGAGTTTGCGTGGGGACAGCAGGCAAATGGATGGTACAATATCCAGCATCAGTGCTAGTTTACAAGGTAATTTCATACATATTTTTATGGTCAGTCTTCAATTAGCAATACCCCTTAGCCTTCTTTTTAAGTTTTTTTTCTGTCATTAATTTTCTGCCAGGACTATAAATGCTGTCATCTTTCAATGTGGCTTAGAAGTCTATAGTTGGAGAGAATGGATTTATAATGTGTGGTAATTTTTTATGTAAACAGTTGTTCCTCAATTATATATTTCCATGCCTCCATGTTTCTTTTTTCTTTTTGTTGTTACTTTTAAAATTAGTAATAGGGCATCTTAACCCAGGCACTGGGCACTAGTGGCTCACACCTGTAACCCTAGCTACTCAGGAGGCTGAGACCTGGAGGATCACAGTTGGAAGCCAGCACGGGCAAAATGTATGCAAGGTTCTATCTCCAATTAACCAGCAAAAAGCTGGGCTAGAGGCATGACTCCAGGGGTAGAGTGCCAGCGGAGCAAGCACAAGGTCCTGAGTTCAAGCTCTGGTACTAGGTTCTACACACACAGTAGAACATCTTAGATTCTAGCAAACCTGAGTGGTCCTGGCTCAGCTTCCTCATGGTCCTGTCTGTCTGTCTCTCACATACACAGAGTGGTATTCAGCCAGATTTTTGTTCATTTAGAAAATGTTCTAAGGAAATTGTTTTTCCCGTTGATAATATGGGCTGGGTTATTCCCTGCAGATGCAGCCTCTGTGCCTTCAGCCCACCCATGTGGTCACATTCCCATCCACCCAGCAGCTAGGGCTGGCTGCCAGTCACGTGTGCCCCTTCCCGTGGCTCCCAGCGCCGGGCCACCAGAGCAGTGAGGCTGATGGCTGGGCTTCTGCCTCTCCTTGGGTGACACAGTTGGCTGGCACGAGTCAGCCATGAAGGATGACAGTGGCTGAAATAGCTTAGCATTCTGGGTTATCTGCTGGGATCATGGTTGGCAGGGGGGGAGGGGGGGGGCAGGGTCACAGCCAGTGTTTGGCTTCAAGTCAGCTCTCCCTCCTCCTCCATCCATGCCAGGCTGCTGCTTCCTGTATGCCACTCAGCAAAATGAAGAAGCAGCCACTTCAAGCAAATGAGTAAACTAGAATATCCTAGGAGGAAGTGATTTCGATGCTGCCGCCCAAATAACCACACACATTTAAAAATGAATTTTAAAGAAGCATGTTCGCAAAGCACTTGCCTAGCAAGTGCAACGTCCTGGGTTCGAGCCCCAGTACCAAAAAAGAAAAGACAAAATAATACAGTTAAAAAAACAAAACAAACAAATAAAAAGCATGGCAAGGGCTGGCTCAGCGGCCCAGTGGTAGAGCGCTTGCCTCGCATACCTGAGGCCTTGGGTTCGATTCCTCAGCACCACATAAGCAGAAAAAGCCGGAAGTGGTGCTGTGGCTCAAGTGGTAGAGCACCAGCCTTGAGCTGAAGAGCTGAGGGACAGCGCTCAGGCCCAGAGTTCAAGCTCCATGACTGACAAAAACAAAAAACAAAAAACATGACAAAGCATACCATGGTTTTAGGCTATTACCATTTTAGGCTAACCATTCTATAGTAATGCTTGGTACATTCAGGTAGTTGGGCACCACCCCCACCATCCATCATCTTTCCATCCATCATCCATCTATCCATCTATCCTGAGCTGCTTCATCACCCAAACTAAGACCCCATACTCACGAATCAATGGCTTCCTTTCCTTCCCCCAGCCCCTGGAAACCACCTCTGCTGACTTTAGGTAACTCCTATAAGTAGAATTATATAATATTTATCTTTTAGAAAATGTTGTTGGCAGTAGTAGGGTTTGAACTCATGGAGTCCTTCTTCTTAGGCAGACTACTATTAGCCACACCCCCAGCCATTTTTGCTTTAGTTTGTTTTTCTGACCAGTCTCTCAATTCTCTGGTCCAGTTTTAGACTATAATCCTCCAACTTCCACCTTGAGTGTAGTTGGGATTATAGGCATGCACCACCATACCTTTGTATTTGAGTCTGTGTGACTGGTTTCTTTTACTCCACATAGTATCAAAGTTAATCCATATTGCAGGGTGTGTCAGAATGTCTTTCTTTATTAAAGCCGAATAATATTCCAATGTATATATAGATCAAATTTTGTTGTCTACTCATCCACTGATGGCTTGTATCTACCTTTTGGCTATTGTAATAAATGGTGCTCAGAACATTGAACTACAGCTATCTGTTCAAACTGCTGCTTTTGGGTCTATACATGTGAGTAGAATTGTTACACATTCCATGTGTAACTTTTTAGGGAGTCACTTTTTTATTTTCCGTAGAGACTATACCTTTTCCAGTTTTGATTTCTCTGCGTCCTTGCTGTTTACTACTAATAATAACAATAACAGTCAACCTGATTTTTAGCCATTTCTACCACTATAACAAAATACCTTAAACAATCAACTAAAGAAGAGAAAAGGTTTATTCTGAATCACAGTTTTGATATTTTCAGCGGATGCTTGGTTGTTGCATGGGCCTATGGCAAGGTAGTAA